AAACAGCCACTTTTCTTAATGATGTCGCCTCATCCATGGATCCAAACGAAGCACTTATTGGAATATTTTTAGATCTTCTAAACGCTTTTGACGTCATTCATCGTAACGTTTAACTTTCAAAATTACTTCTTATGGAATTCGTGGTATTGCTCTAGATTGGTTACGTTGATACCTTAAACATCGATCTCTGAGAGTTGAAATACCTTATTGGAATAATGGAACATTATGTACACAACTTTCCGATTCTTTGCCAATTGAATGTGGAGACCCACGGGGATCGATTGTAGGCCCTATTCTCTTCCTACTATACGTAAACGATATGCCCTCAACGATTAGAAACGGAAGAATAGTTCTCTTTGCAAACGATATGAATATTCTTTGCAATAAAGAAACCGTAAATATCGCGTATTTCAAATTGATTTCATTTTAACAAACTAATAGTAAATGAAAAGAAATCTGTTTAACATGTAATTTATTCTCATAAGTGCCCCACGTGTTATTGGTTCAGAAGATATCTACTGCAAACCACTAGTACACCGCACGTAAAATTAGGTTAATTTTTTTGAAAAACTGTACCCAAAGGATAGCATCTCTTCCAGTTACGCAACGAAATGAGTGCGGGCCCGCCCGCAAACCTTTTATCCGATCCATCTTTATAATAGTGTATAACAAACACAAGTAGTGTTAGTATCTTAAATAATAGAAATATCCACTAAAAATATGCCCTTTTACCTGGGCCCGCCCGCAGTGGTCACGAACGTTACGTCTCTGGTCATACTCAATAGAGTAACGAAATGAGTGCGGGCCCGCCCACAAAACGTTTATCCGGGCTCCTCTTATGAAAGAGCAAACACAAGTAGTGTTGGTGCCGTTAATAATAAAAAACGGGCCTTGCGGGCCCGAACGAACGCCACTGATTTTTTCCTACTTCGCTTCTCAATATCTCTAAGAGTCCCCATAGGTGACTTACGTATATTAATATAGTTTTTGCAGTCACACTCCGCGAATCGTCTTGGAACTGTAAACACAATAGAATGAATCTTTAAAAAAACTATGAGCAATCATTAATAACGTCTTTATGCTTTGGTTATAAGGGTAATATTACAAAATTCGAGTAGTAATTAATATTTGTTTTCACTAATAATTGGGAATGAAGTAAATATAGCTTTACGAATATGCAAATATATTAATATTAATAATAATTAATAATAATAATGATAATAATAATAAAATGCCTCTTCTCTTTAAAGTATTATTATTATTATTATTATTATTATTATTATTATTGCTGTTATTATTAACCGTCGAAGGCGTTTGGGCCCTTGAGGATCCATAAAGGCAATTCTATTTCTGTGAAGTCCATTACAGCACTGACGAGCGATGACCGCTGATCCTAGGCCGTCGTAGAAAAGCGGCGTATGCCGCTAGTTGATAATTGTGGCATCTCGATGTCGATATGGCGAAACGATCTCATAACGTAAGCCTGATAACTTATATAAATATTCAATATGATCATCCATATTGGACAGCAATTGAAATGAATCTCTAATTCCCACAAATATCCATTAATGTAATTCGTTACGTAAATGTACGTCCTTATTTTGTAATCAAAGTTTTTATCAACATTCCTTTTAATATTTTCTTACTCGTTGGGTATCGATTTACAACGTACTATATCTTACCGTGTCGCATGCGGCCGACTGTCTGCACGGGTCAGCGATTTCTGGAAGTACTGATAGTTTAAATAATTATTTGATTGATGGCAATTAACTACAAATTGTCATCATTGTTTTCATATTTATTCGTAAATCAAACATTAACAATACTTAATGAGCTCAAGCAACTATTGTTTTGCTAATTATCCTTATCCTGTACAATCAACGTAAATATTTGTAGCTTACGTAAAATCTTCGCCCGCATTCGAAGACTTCGCGGCTGAATTCGGATGACGAATGTCCAATGTCCACCACTTCTCTCTTCGGTCGCCGCGTTGATGAACGCATATATTTTCGCCCTGCTTAACGTGATATTATCCAATGTAAATTACGAACTTAGAAATGTCAACAGCAATTTTGCCAATTTATTCCAGGTTCGTCGAAATATTATATTAAAGTTATTACGCGTACCCGAAACTTCCCTGAACTTCACCTGGGATGGGCGCCTCGCAACAACTTCATAATATTCAAATAATTGTTAAAGGAATCAAAAATCTTTGTGTTTCTTTCCTATTATAATAGCGTTCGCCGATATAAGTCCGTTTTGTAATTTAATTACATCTACCTTATTCAAATTTAATTACATCACCATTATTCAAATTCATACTATTATAATTAAAAAATATTAATGATTTCATGCTGTCCGTCTGCCACGGACACCTTTAGTACAGGCTGGAGTGTGCAGATTTGACAATGTTGTCGTTCAGTCCGATTCGAATCAGATGAGCCTGGCACAGATCCAGACAACGACGGAAATAATTCAAGTAAATAGTGTTTGTTCAGTGTTTTGACGTTGTGTAGCGTGTGAGTGCGTTATTTCGAATTCGCTGTTGTGTTGTTCATTGGAATCTTTCAACTCGAATATGCAAGTGCAGTTGCGTACGAGCCGCGTACGAGTAGTCGCGAACTCGAGTTTTGTTTTATAATTACAGTTTTAATGCCTGTTCCTTGCTTGGATTCGAAAAAAATCGTGTTTTTCACACGTATAATAAATAGTAGTGAAGATGTTTACATAATGTTGCATTTCTATATTTATATAATTTGTAAATAATATGTTATTAACTTCATAACCTATATGTTTATACTGTGAACTGTGGTTATACTTGTGAACTTTCTTTGTGATATTGGTTTGTGTGGGTAGGTAAATAGAATTATGAGTGACCTAATTCCTATGTTCTGTAATATACTTCTGCATACTTATACAAAAGGGAAAAAGACAAAAAGTATACAATATAGAAGTAATTGAATTACAAGTAGCTAACTATTTTTCATTGATTTTTTTCTGAAATAATTGATTTGAATTATAATTATTTTCAAAAATTGTTTATAAATAACATCTTTCGGCAATATTGTAAGCCATACTCTTGAAGAAATATTGTTGAAATTAGTATTTGAGACTACAGATTTGAGAAACAATGTTGGTGGTAGAATTTATTTCCATATATTTTTATGTTCGCAGTAAGTTTGTATAGGGCTTTTGCTAGAATGCAAGATCGGACTTTTAATTGTATTAGATAAAAAGTGAATTCAGGATATTTTACTCGACTGGTGACGAGCAGATTTGCATTTTCACGAAGTGCACAGTATCGGCTCCTGTGACTCCATCAGACTGAGATGTGTGGTGTTTACAATGTTACCGGTTTATAGACTCCAGCCTGAACTGAATGTGGCTGTGCCTCTGCATTCGTGCGTTCGACATTATGTCTTAACCAAAAATTGCAATACCACCCACCGCGTGTCCCATCTAACGAAAACAGCAACGTATCAAATTCAATGTTGACGGCTCGGTCAGCACTAAAAGGAGGCCAAACTCGGTTTTTTGTTTGTTTGTACCTTATGTCTCCTACGCATATTTTTATTATAAGGGACTTCCCTCTTCCGGTCTGTCGCCACACTGTGAATGTTCGATCTTCCTGGCTTGTTTATTTCTCTGTCGCCCTGACAACCTGGATGCGTTGACTTCACCCCCCGTGGATGCATATAACAAAACATAATATATAATGAATATCCTATGACTGTTTATATTAAAACATGAGGAGGAATTTTGGCTCGTCATAGTCGTTTTTGTAGAAACATTGATATATTAAAGCTGATTTTTTTAACATCGATGTTTTGTGCTCCATGTTTTTCATTTAAACATTTGATTGTAAATGGAAATTATCCCATTATGAAATGCCATAATATGTTCAATCCATTTTGGTTAGGTGAAGTCTAATATTAGGCATTTTATATAATCAGTTTCGTAATAAAGTACTTTACTGCCCCTTGATAATATTACTTAATTATGACACTGGGGCGGTAAAGAAATGGCGAACCTTGCCACTCTTCTTTTGAAAATATTTTGCACTTCTTAGTCTTGTATCCTTCTTTTTCCGTCTTTAAATCGCTAATAAACTAGTAAACTTACTGATATCAATAATATAATTAAGTGATTTTGTACGCTTCAACATGAAGTAGAGGGTCCAAAGACTTCTGGGTTTCTCCTACTCTGATTTGCCAGTAAAATAATGTTTCAAAACGTTTCCCGATATAAAATGAAACTTTTTTTTACACAGGTCTTTAAAAATTAAATACTCATGCTCATATTTCGCTCTTGATTTGTTGGGTAACAATACAATTCAATACACAACAATTCTATAGCAACAATACAATACATAACAAAACAATTCTATAGCAGCATTTGCTATATTTCTATTTCTGGATCGGAACAATATTCACTCATGTCACAATGTGTACATCAAATGTGTTTTAATTGTTCCCCTTGTTGAGAACAGTGTCGCCACTTGTAGAGGAAAAAAGTGAATAATAAATGAAGGGGTATGACGAAATTTCACATTAAATCTAACAAATTTTTACAAAGAGGATAAAACTTCGATGTTCGATGTTCATTTCGTAACATCAGATTACTACACTCATTTAGTTCCAAACGCGACCTAACGGCTTCGTTTGGCAATTTCGTATAGTAATTATATGCTTTTCGACACATCGTAAATAACTATAAAAGTTAAAATATGAAATGAGATGTTCCTGGATGTTAAAACTTAGTTTTTTCTGTTCTTTTTATTTTGTATCTTTGTTTTCAGTTAAATTTTAATTACGAATTACTAAACACGGTCATTGTCAATTTAAATTTTGTTGCTCACAAATATTGTGATAAAGGTTACTAAACCAGCTTTAAAATACATCGTTGGTTTTTGGTTGATGTATTATTAGCATCTATGCTTTAATTTCAAACATTGATATTTGGTAACATCGATGTTATGTTATCGATGGCTTTTGCTGCAGTCGGAGGTGATGGCGGAGGCCCAGCGGCACGGCGACCTCTTGGTGGAGGACTTCACGGACGCGTACTACAACCTGACGCTCAAGACGCTGTTCCTGCTCAATGGCCGGTGCGCGGTGCCGTCTCGCGTTCTGCTCAAACGGACGACGACATGCTTCATCCAACACGCGGCGCCTGGTGCGCGCTTCCGCGGCTGGTGCGCAGGCGCGCGCGGGGCGCCAACGCCGCCTGGGCTCCACGCGGCGCGGCGAGGACGCGGCCGCACGCGCGTGGCGCGCGACCCGACGCGCCCGAGCCCCCGCCCCCGCTTAATCTTCGCGCTCGTGCACCATCCACGCGCTCCGCTACGCCACCCAAATCCAATGTAAGGGCCCTTCCCACTCGCCACGCGTTCGCGCTTCCTTCACCAGCAAGCCCTTCCGACGCAGCCACCCGGACCACGCCGCAAACGCCGGGGTGAAGGGGTGGGTCTGGAGGTAGCTTCGCCCGACCCTCCGAGCGACGACAACAAAGAACCCCGGACTGGTAAGAACGCTCGGCGCGCGCATCGGAACGACCCAGTTAAAGTGTTTCTGCTAAGGTGGCGCGGCCCCCTCCTCCGCTTCGCTACTGAGTTCGGCGTCGGCTCCGCGCACCGCCATTCTGCCACCCGCACCGGCTGCACGTGGAAAGCCTCCATTCAAACAATCTCTGCTACGCGCCGCCTCTATGCGAAGCGCGCCGCGGTCGGCGCCGTGGAAGGGCCCTAAGTCCAAACTAGCGATTGCCAGCTGGAGGAGAAATGACGTCAGAGCCGCCTTCCCCTCCGCGGAAGGCGCGCAGAGAAGCAGTGCGAGCGAAGCGGGGTTGGAGGGAGGGGCAGACAGCGGTCGCCGGTAACGAAAACCTGGGCAGTGGGCCTTTCCCGGAGTTTCAGGCAGTACGAGTGGCAAACCATCTGCACCCGCGAATTTTCTTTCGGTTTGGGGAGAAAGGTTTCCTTTTGTAGATACTGGAACAATGGCGAAGTGTTAAGCGTGACCGAAAGAACTGCAGTATGTTAAAATGTCCAACCTACAGATGCATTACGTAGCTTTGTGACCCAAAGAAATTGCGAGATAATAAATTCTAAGAATTGACCTAGCCCTCAATCATGGGATGAGAAAAGAAATTTGCAGATTGAAGATTGTGGGAAAGATACTGAAAATCACGAGGTTTTACAACATTCTCAAACAAAATTGTACATAAAAAGTAATGAAGCCTGGGTCCAAATTCTCCCACGTCACCCCTACCGGGGAGCATATAAGCAAACTGCATATCCGTACCGGGCTTCCCTGATTGTCTAGCGGGCGGGGTGCGCGAAGCCGTGCTAAATTCGTATGTACTACGGAGCCCTGCAGTGACACAACTTGCGTCAGTACACGTGGTCTCGGCTACTATGTTCATAGGCAAAGCGTTTGCCTCTTAGTTTTCAGGTGTTTTTCTCTGACATAAGCTGTGAAATTAGTCGGGAACTAAGAATCCAGCGTGTTTTGTCAGTAAGTCCCTAAAGTTATATTTTGGTTTTATATGAATAAATAAATGCTAACTAAGACATTAAATTACATAATTTCCAAGCGAATTATACCTACGAAGATGTAAAGGATAATGAAGAGACAGTCATAGGAAGTGCAATAAGTTCAATTGAAGACATTAACAATTGGAATACACGAAGATAAGAAGAGTGAAATGGAATATCAGATCATCAAAACCTTCAGAAAAGCGATTTGTTTGTTCACAAGTTGACGGAAATACACCTTACGTTTTTCTTTTCTTTTAGAGATAGTAAACATTATCCTTTCACTTTCAAAAATGTAGTAGTACGCACAGAAAAGTAGTAGGACAAGAAAATAGAGGACTTTCTAAAAATGCTGACTGATCAACTACATTGTCTGTAGAAAACACAACGTAACAGATACAAGAAGAAAAGATGCGTGTATTACAGTACGTAGGGTTTTCAATTTGTTTGACACATTCAGTTGTAAGCATTATAACATTTTTGGGATTTATCTCTTTGAATTGTAAAAAAAATTTCATTTTAACAATTAAATAACTTATTTTTATTTTCATAAAGATTTGTACTGAGTTAACAATACAGAAAAGTCAAAACTACAATGTAAGAACTACTGAAACGCTGCAGTTTCTGCCAGCTGATAAGGCTACTGATAAGGACAGCTGATAAGGGAAGCATTCCTTCAATATTTTGAAATAGGAATGCGTATTGCAGAATCATACAAATATCACCAGACGCTTCTTGAACTAAATGGAGGCATTTGTGAAGATTATTTCAAGGGCCGTACAAATCCCAAAGAAAGCAGAACAACATCATCTTACCTAGGACATACCTCAGGCCAAGATGAAGTCTCATAAATAGTCATTGTACATCATATTTACATGCTCATGTCTTTTTTGCTGTTTTTTTTCAGAATGTAATTAATCAATTTCAATAGTATGAAATACATTATCAATCGTTTATAGTTGTGTGCACATACATGTGCAGATTTTAAAGATTTCAGACACTATAACCATTATAAAAATGTCCTCAACGAATGTGTTCAAATTCATTTAGATGCTATCGAAAAGTTTAAAAAATGAGTTGTTGGTAAAAACTATTGAGCAATTTGAAAATCAACTACCCTTGATAATACAACCTATTTATCAACCTGAAATGAATACAATTATCTTACAAAATATTGTAATATACTATAATAATATAAAAATGTTTACACAACGTGAAGTTCAGTAGATATTTGAATAAAATATTCAATTTGCAATCTAAGTTAATTTTAATTTCATTTTTCTGAAAATTGGAAATGATAAAAACAAAGGTTTCTTAGTATTAACCCCTTTAGCCCCCATTGTTTCTGCAACATTTTCCTTCCCCCAAAAACTAAACATTTTTAATGGTCAATTACAAATATTGAGACATGGACAGAATTGTATTATAACGATATGCCAGTTCTGGGAGCGAAGATGTGTTGATTTCGCGACGCTCCAAGGCTGCCAAATAGAACCGCTAGGGGTAGAGGCCGATCGGAGGTCCGAGGCACAGTACAAGGATGCCTATCACGATTGGCGTGTATTGCTGTTGTAAAAGTGTGTAGACGGATTTATTTCCACAAAAAGGAGAAACCCGCCCAATGCGTCCCGTGTCGCACCGGTCAAAATGTTTCTTTCACCCCTCAAAAAAATATTTCAAAAAGCACCGCGTGCAACCACCGACCCCGTGACAAATGGGGGCGCCCGGCGGCAGTATAGCTCAGAAGAAGGCCATTGATATAAATTTTAAGACTTTTTTTTTATTAACGCCGAATTTACGAAACCACTAGTCAATGCGAACTTCGAAGAAATATGGAAAAATGGTGTAATCGACAGTAGAAAGTGTCCGATGATGAAGATTGTGTGTAAGCTGTGTGTTGCTGCAGGTACCTCCCGCGCTGGCTGTTCCCGGATGACGTGCTGCCCGACTTCGTGTCCGGGACTGCGTACGTGATGTCTCGGCCGGCGCTGGAGCACCTGTACTCGGTGGCGCTGAACACGCCGCTGCTGCCGCTCGAGGACGTCTTCCTCACGGGCGTCGTGGGCGGCAGCCGACTCGGCATCCCGCGGGTGAGCGCCTTGCCTTCTCTCTTTCTCTCTCTCTCTCCCTCCTCTTTCCATCTTGGACGATCTCTACCCCCTTCATCTCCTGGAGAGCTAACGCACTCGCTTCTACTCGTATGAATCTCGACCGAAGATGATCTCTCCTTCATCTGCCTATCACTCTCTCTTCCATCTGCACGCTTCTCTCCCCTTCATCTTGCGCGATCTTCTTCTCTCTCTCCATCGAGAGCGTCCACTCTCCTTCATTCTGGCCATCTTCTCGCTTCTCTCTCTCTCACACACACACTCATACTCTCTCTCTCTCTCTCTCTCTTCTCATCACACACACTCGCTCTTTCATTTTTGGCAAGGTCTTTGTCTCGCTCTAGATTAATTACTCTCTCACGCTCGCTAGGTCTCTATCACTCTTTTGCAGTCTCTATACTACGGAAAATCGATTTTGAGATATTAATGGAAATACACATTTGGGGTCCACTGATCCCGAAAAACGGAATTTCTTTCTGCGAGTTCTTTAATAATTGGTGATATGTACATTTTTTATAAATTTTAGGATTTTTTGACAATTTTTGTGAAATATTCGTAATTTTAAAAACATATTTTCTCAAAAATAACTCCAAATTTTTTCCTGATACTTTTTGGACGGAATATGCTGTATTCATGGACCTACCTTATCTAAACGTCATTCGTTCGTCAAACGTTCTTTTTATACTTTTAGAAAATGTAACGATTTTAATTTTTTGAAACATCTCTCACGTCGTTAATAATTACAATTGTTAGGCTCCGAATATACTTATGGAAGAACTTTGAAGATTGGACTGCAGATTCGCAATACCGCTTCCGTAGTTTTTGTCAAAAGGGAAGATTCTGAAAACGATCTTGGCGTTAGAATCTGCTTGTAATATTAAATATTAAAAAATATATCAGCGTTACCTGTTTCTGGGCGAAAGGAAATCGGCTACCTTCCTTGTTTTATTCCATTATACAATGCGTGTATGAAGCATAGTTCGCTTTGCTGCCACACGCCAGAATGCGGGTTCACGGAGAATAACACCATGGAATTTCGAACTCGCGACACCGACCTCACATAAACGATTCAGCTCCCAGTGCAGTAGCCACTCGCGTATTCCTAGGTTTTCATGCGTGAGGCGAACCGCCAAATGGCTCGGGTGTTGGATTTCAATCAATGTGCGCTTGCAGAGTCTTAGAGGGAAAGACCTAATTTGTTCGAATGTCGACAATGTAAAACTGTGGTGGCGCTCTGTCGCTTCCGGCGTCCGGATGGTGGTGCGCTCTTACGGCCATTTTTGAAAGTAGTTAGAATAATCTTGTGACAAATTATTTTTCTCTAAGGCAGTCGGCGATTTTTGAGGGAAAAATAAATTATTTTGGTCATGGGACGTTTGAAATGTATGCCCTTTGCTGTTAATTCATTTCAAATAATGGTTATCAGGTGCCAAATTTGAATTACTTTGGCTGCATATGTCTAAACAATTCCTATTGGCTATTGGCATTTTTTAAATAAATTATTAGAAATGTGAATGCCAAATGCTTCAAATGATTTCTGACGAAGTGTCTCGAAAACTGATAACTTTTGTACGAAAAGAGCTAAAAATGAGCATTTTCTTAAACGCCTAAACATTTTCCAAAAACGTGTTCCAAGATATTTCAATGAAAATTTACATATTGATCCAGTTTTACTCTTCTAGATTATTATTAGTTATATTTCAATTCCTCTATTGAGAGGCCCAAACATTGAGAAAAAAAATAGTTTAGACGCCAGTATATGGCAGCTGTGAGAGGATGATGTAAAACAGAAAATCTATTTTTGTAAAGTATGTTTTTTTCAAAGTGGAATGATTTCCAAATGTAGCTGGCGTGAGCAACATGTAGTTTTGCGGAAAAATGTTTAGGTGAAGATCAATTTATTTGCATGACGAGATATCAGTAGGGGCATGCTTTCTGGAAATAATTTTTTTTTTAAATCAAAAGTATTTTGAAAGTGAAAAAGAAGAAAATGGGTTTATTCAGTATAATATCGAATTGTTCATGTAGAGCTCGAACTTTTCGAGTAACATCATACATAACTGAAGGTCACGGATCTTGTAAGTTCTTTTCAAGAACATCCTTCTATCTGATTTTGATTATTTTGTTCTCGTTATAAGATATTGAGTTAGATCGGATTTAAACTTCATTTTAACGCGGCAATCGTTTTTTTTAATTTAGTCAGTTGCACTGTCAGTTTCTTTGGTGCTAAATATATTGCAAGTGAATCGATAGCTCGAGCAAGCACATCATGGCAATGAAGTATTTTGCGACTTTGATGGTACAACAGTTTGCATATCTAACTGTAGTATCAAAAACCGCAGTTTCAAATCTGATTCAAGGCATGAAAACTGCCAATTGAAATTACAGATTAAAGACGCGGAAAAATCATCTTTGTACGCCTTCGGACGGGAAGTAAAGCCGTTTCATGTTGTAGATTTTCGTTATGTAAAAGAATAAGCGTGAAAGAAACCTCTGAGTTAGATTGCTGGATTATGCCATTGGGCTTTGTATAGCAACATTTCGTACTCGCAAAATAAAATGCCACATTTGCCTTTCGTATCATAAATAATTATTATTCCAACAATCAGTATTACCATATTAATATCATCAAATATTATTTTGTTATTAAATCGATCAAAATAGTAGTTTACGTAACAAGGGTGCGAAAAGTTGATTTAATAAGGCAATTACAGGTGATTTAATTAGACAGATTTTTTGACGAAAATTCGCCTTTTTCGGTCCTCGGTTACATTACTATCGCTTTTTACGAAGTAAAGGCGAGAAAATAGAAAGTATATCCTTGTACGAAATTTGTATATGTTATCTGAATGAACTCCTAAATATTTCATTTAAACAACATTGCACAACTTCATTTAGTTTATTGTACGAGCAGAAATATTTATTCGAATTTATTGCCTGAAGAATAGTGTTTTTTTGTTAGGAAGTCCGAATAAACGAACCAGCAGAAAACGTGTTTTTGTACTTCCGTTGTTCTGTAAGAGAAAAAAAAAGAGAAGTGCAATGTCGTAACGGATTCACAATGTGTATTGATCGTTCATGACATGAATTGTCTTGAGAAGTCAATAAATTACGTAAATGAAGCACGTGTTATCCGACATACCAAGGGGGTTACATATAAGGGTAGTGGCAACTAGTGCCCCAACAAACTAGAGGAAACAGTTTCATCGAATGACGGAAATGGTATTTCCAAAGTTCATAACACTAATATACGAGTATAATTAAACATAAGTCATTCATGTAAATTAATTAAAACTAACTTTAATAAACGTCTGTATTGACACATTACCTACATAATTGTATTCGTAGTGTCCGTGCCAAGTATGCTATCGCTGGTTCCGCTTTGATTACCAATGGGCACTCGATTTTTTGTATTACTTCTGCGTTGAGTAATTGAATTATCACACACACACACACACACACACACAAAATGAAATTGGTATCGAAAATATGGTGAACGCATGATTTTATTTTCAAAATTTTACTACATTGGTATGCATTGCAGTAATGAAAGGTCTATACACACTCGTATTTGCAACTGTCGCTGATATCTGGAAAATCATTGCACACAGTCAGAAACAGAAAGGGACTTCCCTCCAGAACAGCCAACTTCACGCAAATGCCTCATAAAATGTACATTTTGAATCAACAAACCTAACATTAAATGACAATAAATTTTACAAACACCATAAACAATGCATTCGCCAGTAAGATGGCCGAGATCGTTTGGACAGTAGTGCCGTAGCGGTCTCGGATCAGCAGACCACGGGTTCGAGTCCCGCCTCGGGCATGGGGGTATTTGTGTATGTTTATATGTGTGTGACGTCCTTTCATCCCTCACTATCATCATCATCATCATCTCATCATCCATACCCCCAGGACTAACGACCGTGGAGGGGATAAAAATCGGGATTCAGCTAAAATGCTGACCCCCCCCCCCAGAAAGGTACTTGCACCTGCTGAAGCAGGATTCACGCGTGGTCTGAGTTGGCCTGCACGTGAAAAAAAAATGCATTCGATACCTATAATTGATTGCACTTGTATTCTTCCAATAACACGCGAAATTCATAAGTTACAGTTAGTTTAGTTAAGTGCAACATTAAGTTACAGTTAGAGTGAGACCAAGACAGAAAATTGGTATTCCTCTCGGCCGCCGCGCCGCACTCTGTGACCAAACCCTACCATCCTTCGCTGTAACCTGGTGTGTGATTGCCATGCGAAGACAACCAAGGTTCTATTGTGAAGGTTAAAGCCAAAGAGTAAACACAGTATAAGAGCTCGAGAATGTGTCATGGTGCACATTACACATTGTATAGAGAAAGTGTTGTAGTGCAGCAGGAACACATGGCGCGTTTTCGACAGAAAGACTCAAAACCCTGGCCCAATTTGTGTTCCTATACGTAGTAAATTACTGCTTCTAGCACATTGTGTAGTGAGAATCCATGTTTGTTGGTCATTGGTACCGAAAAATGGATTGACGGAGAAATGTCGGTTTGTCTATACCTCCATCCGCCTGTGGTCAGCGCTGGAGCCTAATTCCTTCAGACATTTTCTCCAGGATTGATATTTCCCCATCTATCTGAACGAAGTGAAGGCCCTACGAGTCCCAAATGGATATTTTGGTTTTTGGTGGTATTTAACGGGAATCTTCAAAATTTTCTCAAATAGGCTCCAATTTTTTCTTCTTACATTTTCCCTCGTATGTAGGAAAGAACCGTAAAGAAAGTGCATTTTCGTTAAACTCTCTGAATTTTCTGAAATTGAAAACAAACAAAAGAAATTAACATTGTAAATGTACAATATTTATGATAGAGATTTTTTAAAAAATAAATCAATTCTAAAAGTCAGTTCTTAAAAAATAATGTGCAAAATTTGAAAAATATTAGTAGTTTAACATAATTCTGTAAATTCCACGTTGGAATTTCTTGCACTTCCTTTTTTTTAAATTTACTGTCTTCCTGTTCAACATGTATATTTTTCAGGGTTGTTAATAGAAACATATATGACTTTTGGTTTATTTCCTAACTGTGAGTGCCCTGAATTGGTGCGATAAGTGTTTTTGGTTTATTTTAATAATTTAAATTATTTTGGAAGTAATTGAAATTACAAAGAATGATCGTTTATATTTGATGGTCATATAACTTGAGTTCGATTTTCTGCATGAGTGCCCGCACAGTCACTGTTTAAGCAGGAAGATCAACACAGTACTCTAGTGCAATTTAAATCTTACATGATCATGGTTTACTAAATTGGAATTTTGTTTCCCCGATGAATAAAATTACATTTCTTGGCCTTCATAAATGCGAATGTTGAATCCGAAAATCAGCAAATGAAAAGTTTGAAATAGCCGCTTTCCTTTCGGAGTCTTCCACTACTTAATACAATTCCCATTCGCCTACTCCATTCCATTCCGTTAGGAAAAAATGCGTTTCAGTTCATTCCATATTCATGTTTGCATCTCCCGTAAATTTCAACGTCCGCCATTTGCACCATTTAACACCACGTGCTGCCCTACTTGTTACTCCGACCGCGTTTTAGCCCCGCGTTTTAGCTCTCCTCTGTGTTTTCGCCTCGACTAACTTTTTAGAAGAAACAAAAAAACTAGTGGTGCTCCATAGCACATACTTTCTCGCAATGTTTCTAAACGCTTTGCAGTATTATATTGATTTTAATGTTATATTGATCAGTTGATTTGATGTGACATACGTTTTACAAATAGGACAAGAGAATTGTAAACTTGTTTAAAATGTCAAAATACGAAAAAGACGTTCAGACACTTCCAGTTTATTTAGAATCTTAATAGATTCTGTGTATCTTAATAGATGTGCCTCGAATCGTGTCAATTAATTTTTCAATGAAGTTCTGAAATTGTCAATAGTTTTCTGTGGCAACAGAGAGTTGTTTAATAACCACTTCGGCCAAGCGGGTTATACAGAGAATTGGCACTTTTATAATAGTCATAAGTTCCGAAAGAGACGGGATTTGATGGTTCATACATTTTACAAATCCAATAACAGACGTGAAAATTGTTGAAAATGTGAAAGTTACATACAGACACTTCCAGTTTATTTATCTCGATTAATAATATTTGCGATTAGAATTGCTTCAAATGGAATTGGATAATTTTTGTGTAATTGTCAATTATTTCCTGCGACAACACGGAATTGTCACAAATAATAATTCCCGACCAAGATTCGAACCAGCGAACCTGCCCCTCAAAGAACTCAGGACTTACCCCACAATTAGCTACCTCGGCAATCCATTTACGATGTGCAGTGAGCACTTCTATAATAGTAATAAATGTATGATGATTTCAGTTCTAGCGTTACGGAGCCGAGTAATTAAGAAAATGTAATAATGTTTGCTTTTCGGGCGACGAAAGAAAACTAAAATAAAATGTTCGTCCCACGTGATCAGTCCATTGTTTATGCAGGTTCATGCTTTCACTGGCCACTTTATTTAAACAACGTGCCTCTGAACCGTCACAGTATATACATACATACATGCGCACATACACACAAGGTTATCATTTAATTAATCAATCAAACGTTGCTTTGACTTTACCAGTTAATATGTATATACACATTAACTTGATCAATTGAATGATAACCTTTATTTGCCTACAATCTAATGTTTTGATATTTGTCGAATAAGTTTATATAAATTATATTACCATAATTCTAGATATACGATAATCATCACATAATTGCAGACTTAACATGTTTTTATGCTAAATTCCATACCTCATTTTCAATTCAAACTGCAATAGCGAACTTAGTGTTCGTAGGCTTCCGCGGCCGGTGTAAATACATTCTTGGCTCTACGGTATGAGCCGCGTCTCGGTCAACTTGTGCTGACCGAGGTGTATATACTGCTGAGCAGTATAGCTCTGAAGAAGGCTACAGCAAGATGGCCGAAACGTCAGCACAATTGACCGAGACGCGGCTCATCCCGGATAGCCAAGAATGTAGCGAACTTCATGACTGTAGCAACTGAAATGCATTGGTTAAAAAAACATGTATCAAATGCATTTTACACTTGCAAGCAATTTACAAGAAAATAGAGTTATAGTATAGACACAGAGACAAACTTTCAAACGCTTCCGTGGTTTTTTGTCTTGTATTTACCTTCGCCAATGATATTTTCGGAACCTCTCTTCATTCAAAAATATTGGCTTGTCGTGTGTTGTCGCCTCGTTAGCTATGTTGGCCGAATTCTCGGCTGCATTACCCGGACTCATTCACTCGTATTGTACATACATACTGTTATAGGTGACGGAAGATACATTTCCATTTAGGTTTCTTTTTAAGGGCTTCTTTCATTCACCTATTAATTTAAAATTTTGAAAGGAATGCAATATTATGTCAATTCATTTTCCATTTTGAACTACTGAAAACAATGAAGAAAATATTGAACAGATTCTGAAAAAATAAGCTTACAATTAATTTTAGAGTTATTATAAAAAATATTACTTTTCTCAAATATTTGTATATTGAATAGTACGTGCGTGAATGTTGAAGAGAGTAGCGTCTAGGCCGGGATCTCTCTCCTAGTCCTTGATTTCACAATGGATTCGTGGTGAGTAGCATGCTAATAACGGAGACATGTGGTCATAAAAAATCCTTCTGTCGTAGCGGATGATGTCTATGAACAATGGCCAAATGTGACGTTTGTTTGAATAAAGATTGAGAATTGTTACAGAGAATGCCGTTATGCCAAAATGCCATTATAAATGTCTTTCACAGGTGCATATATCTCGCTTCTGGCCACACAACACCGTGTTGAAGCCACCGAAGACGATGGATCATCCGTGTCTGTACCATCACATGTTGGCCATGCACCACTTCACTGCGGAGAAGCTACGGCACCTGTGGAACCCGTTGATGCGGCTGCAGCCCGCACGACAGTGCGACACGTACCTTATGCGTTTTCTTGGGCGCCTCTTCAGTCCTGGGTCCTACCAAGTACGTATTTAAATCGCTTATTAAGACCAGTCTCGTTGAAAACGAAAACCGTTGTCAAGTACGGACACGAACACGTTTTTGTAGATGAACAATAATTACATTAATAATTACATTCTCGACGATATGTTTTCTGTGAAAGTGAGCTCAAAATTACACATTTCCAGAAACTCTCAAACGCCATTTTCTCGAAAACGGCTCCAATTTGTTTCTTCAAACTTTTCAAGGATAATGCTAAATAAAGTGAAAAACTTGACATACTTTTTTCCCCAAAAAATTAAAGAAAAATAATATTTTGAAAATATGTTCATGTCTATATTTACATTACGGGCATTTATTATTCAATTATCTCATTTGTGAATACAATTGCATCAAATAATTTCTTATGCATTTCTCGAAAAATGTGAAAGTTCCGGGTGAAAACGAGTTTAAAAATGCGCATTTACAGAACCGCGCAAACGAATTTTTTTTCGAAACTAATCCGAATTTTCCAATAAAAATGTACTTGTAAGGCCACATTCCTATAATATTATTAAAGTTGTATTGCAATTCTCCTATGAGAGTTCAAAAAATTGAAACGTGAAAAAATTACTTTTTGCCGTACCCGAGAAGATGGAACAAAACCGAAAAAAGTCTAGAATGAATAATAGGGAAACTAGTACGGGAAAATCTGTGCCAATCTGGGGCACCACCAAATTGTGATTAGTATACCTACACATTACGTAGTATTTCACGATATGTAGGGATAGTACATGAGGATTCGGAAAATCGACTTAGAGATTTAAACGCAAAGACGTTTTTGGGGTCTTCTGGTACCGAAAAGTCTTTGTACTTCTACCATACGTCATATACAGTTTTTACTGTTTTTTGACTAAATAAATCTAAAATCTACTTTTTCGTACGCGTACGTATATGCGGAGTATTATATGAGGGACGGTCACAAAGTAATGTCCTCATTTATTTCTCCAGAAATATTTATTGGAAGAATCTGAAATTTTGCACACAGTATTAATACATAGTCAATCATACAAGTAAGATCAACATGAATGATACCGCCAATAACCCAATAGCCAGTGATCAGCGTGTCAGGACTTAAGGCCCATTCACAGCGCATAAGTATAAGCATAACGCATAAACGTTAACATTAACATAAGTAATAGACTTAAGTATTCACGATGTCTAACATAAACGTAATCAAAATTCTATTGGCTGTGAGACATTCTGGTTTACTATTGGTTGGATGTGAGAATCGATTTCAAGGGTACGACTGAGTCCATGGCCCATATGGCGTTAGTTCTTCTATCGACATCGCTCCAATTTCGATTCTCGATTTTGAGTTGCCGTTCTGTGATGGGTTCATTTCTTTTGTCGCATAAGCACAGAAGCTTGAAGCTTGCAAGCTTTTAAGTTAACGTCTTACGTGTTATGCTTATGCAATCGCATTGTGAATGAGCCCGCTTACGGCCGTAGTCCAAACTTTTATGTTAACGCCATGCTTATGTTAACGTTAACGTTTACGTTTGCGTTGTGAATGGACCTTTATCGTTGTGACGCGATGCCCGGAGCGCGGCATGGAGATCGCATTCTTCACTTTCCGAAGTTTTCGTTTACCCCAACGTCAAATGGTACTCCTAACAGCCGCAGAGGGGCCGTACACTGCACATAGGTATTTCTGGATGTTCACGACAATTTCCTTCTTCGCAACGAGGAACTCAACCACCGCTCCCTTTTTGTAACGTAGTTCGTCGTCTACAGCCGCCATTTTAACAATTCGATAAGGAACTGCCATCCGTAGCTGTAGAAGAGACTTGTAACTTCGTACACTAACGCTGGTATTGCGAAACTTCGAAGGGTTAACAACTACAACTGTCTACCATTATTATTGCACGAAGGGAAACTGTGGGACATTGCTTTGTGACCGATCCTTGAACTATATATGGAGAAAGTTATGTAATGTTTAGGAAAATCGAAGTCGATATTCAAGTGTAATTAAACGTTTTGGGGTCCCCTGATACCAAAAAAGTGATTTTTTCAAACCGTCGGTTTGTCTCGTCTGTGAACAACACTAGCGCCTAAACTACGTATGGAATTTTTTTCCAAACAGAAAATTCCCCTATCGATCTGACCTCACTCGAAGCTCTGCGATTTTCAAGAACATTAATTATTTTTTTGTGAATTGTTTACATGAAACCCCTTTGCGCTCTCTTCATGCTTCTCCATTGATCCCCTTCTGTCTTGGGGAATGTCCTAGATCACTTCTTTCTCCTATCCTCAAATATCCCTCGCCCGATTTTCCCTATTTTGCCTAATATATTCCCAATATGAACTTGCTAATGTGAATGATTATAACAATAGTAGCATTTAACTGCAAAACAATTCTATTGAACGAAATTGAATAAAATATCCAGGGAAAATTACTCTTTCCTACATAATCACCACGGGCAGGGGCTTCAAACATCACTTTCCCTAATATGAATCGAATCATTCACTTAGCATATCCGTATTTACTGAACTTACTAATTCTTAAACTAAGATTGTATTCTTGCTAAACTACTTTTCGCGATGTATTTAAGATTTTCGGCAATTTTGCAAGCAATTCTCAGATTAAAAATAGAGATATTATTATTGTCATGAAACTGAATATAATAATACTCCTAATGATCTACACAATATCTGCTATCTCGATCCCTTCTACACGAAGACTGATGCATATCTACCCCCGAACCTACCAGCTTGGCGTCTGGTATAAAGTTTTTCCAAATCTTCCGGTGACGATGTACCGCCTAACTTCATATCTAAATGAGGGTTTGCCTTTTTATCTGCAAACATTTTAATGACTAATATACTTGCTTTTATATACTCTGGCGTCTGTTTATTTACAATCCGTAAAACTGCATATAAAATACCACGGGCGCTTACGACTCACAAACAAATTATAATACGATGTCCTTTTAAATTATTCATATAAAGGGTCTTTTGACTTCTCACAATACTTTGTCGCCTTTGTGAGTACAATTGCTTGAATTAAAATTTGATAAAATTTCTTGTAAGCTCGAAGGTTGAAGATGCAAATGCGCATTTTCAAAAACGTTCAAATGACACTTTCTCAAGATGAACTGTAAATTTTTAACAAAAACTCTACCCAACCCAAGTCCCATACATACTAACTGCTGTATGTAGGGAACATGGTATTCTAGAATATTCTTACTCATATTCTACCATTAGGGATCCGAAAAATTGTGAAAATGTGAAAAAAAGGACTAGGCACCGACTTGAGATCTGAGAAGAATTCGGAGCAAAACTAAAAGCTACCCAAGTCTAAATATTTGGAAACTAACTAGTACCGGAAAGTCTTTGCTACACCTCTAGTTTAGAGCAGATTTCATTGAACGAAAAATGTCATCAGTATGAAAGTTAATTTTTTGCAAATTTCGAAATTAGATTTCCTCAAAAAATAGGATCAGTATCATTTTCTTTATCGTTATTTGTTACATATAAGAGGAAAAAAAGAAGAACAAATTGCTGTGTTGGGGAAAATAATTACTTGAAAATTGCTTGTGTTTCATGGAAAATTACTAAAACTATTAAAATTTTTGATGAACTGTTCATGACCATATTTCAAGATATGTTTTGTGTGAACAGGTTTCACTAAGGTAAACATTTCTCTCTTCAATTTTGTAGTTATAAGAACACACTGAAAAAAATTTGAACGTTTGCATTTTTCTAAAATTCAGAATGTAATGAAAATGCAACCTACAGTACGTTTCAAACCTTTTTTGCTTCATTCAAAGAAAGAAATTAATACATTTGGAATGATTTTTGAAAAAATTGAAAATTTTGGGGCCTTATGTAACGTACCCGCCAAAAATCAAAATATCTGTTCCAATTCAAGGGACTGCAACGTAAGTCAGATCGATCATAGAAAATAAATTTGGTGAAAATGCTGCATAAGGTTTAGATTTTTCTGACAGGCCGGTGCCATAACCCAATTTTTTGGTATCAAGGACTGCCACAACATGAATTCCGTCTACACAAGTTTTTAGAGGAGGTAATTTACCACATAAATGAACAAAAATTTTCCCTTTTTCAATACCAGGGCCCAGCTATTTTTGTTTTTCTGTTGAAAAATGTTCTGCCTGAATTTACTGTCAAAGAATATTGTTTTTCTCCACAACATTTCAATACTTACTCTGTACTGCATAAGTAGTATGTGTGAAAATAAGAGCTATTAACTCACTAACAAGTCATCCAGTTTTTCAAAAGCTAATTGGGAAACAAATCTTGTCATAATTATAAATACTAAGAACTAATTATAGGTACTATATTGTTGGTTAAATATATTTATGAATTATTTTATTTAATCCTTCCATTCCTAAATATTTAGATAAGATAAACAATTGTGTTAATTAAGTTGGTCAATTTAATTCTTGTCGGAAATAAACATTTTTTCGAACCTTTTTTTTACTACCAAAAACTTTGTTATGATAATTTCAAAAATGTTATTCATTTGTGACTTCCCAATTCAGTATTTTTAAGAATTTTTTGCATTCTGTTATAGAAAATATATTTATTTTCCTGTAAACTTTTAGCTGTATATTTGTTGCATATTTTTAAGATTTATAGTGTATATTACATTGCATATTTTAGCCATTTTTTACTGCACATAAATCTTGGCCCTCAAGGCCTAGACTGGTCTTTACCATTATGCTTTTTTGCCACAAACTGAAGTAATTCTCGGAGAAGAAAGGCCCAAATTAAATTTTTTCCAGGACACCATTTAAGCAAAACATATTTTTATTTATCATAAATGTTCAATATTTGTTTCCTTTCTTTCTGAAGAAAAATTATGAATTTAGTATTCTCGAAAATCCTTTGATTAGAAACAAAGTTGAACATAGATGTGAGGATAATATGTAGATATCACAGTAACAAAAATATGTTAAAGATATCGCTATTTTATGTTATAGGTTGTGACAGATGACCCATGGTGATCATTGCTGCATTTCTTCCATGAAACATACCAGACATACACCAAACATACCACAATTTTTTTTGTGATTCCATACAATGAAAGTGGTCACAAACAATTTAATATGTGATTTGTGAAAAATGATCTTCTGCCGATGAAGAACAGCATTTTTGCAGTTTTGTGTACTTACACAATGACATAATTTTTAACTTATACCATTTTATGGTATATAATATTATGAGTGTAGTCTTCTTAAGGTATCCTGTGGTTGAAGTGCCTAGGTGGCTGTCAAATACACACTTTTTGAGCCAGGGTGTGTTTCACATATCTTTGTTTGTCTTGCCATTATTTAGTGGACAGGATCTGGCTTGAAAGAGTGGATTGCAATTGTTCTGCAGTGTCAAATTTTTCATCCTTGTGTAGTGAAGTTCAATTGAGTGCGGACATTTTCTCTTTATCGCAAGCATTGGAGTTTTGATTATTTCTGTTTACTGCTTGTTTTAGTGAAATTACCTGACTTTGTGTTGAATTGAAAGTTTGTTAACTCCATGAAAATGAAATTAATTCTTCACAATTTGCCTCTGTCTGTGTGCGTGAGTGTTTTGTAATGTACCAAACTATGTATTTATTTATTTATATATTTATTTCAAGTGGCCAAAAATTGATAATGATTCTCATAACTTGTGACATCATTACAGCTCTCTGATTCTTATAAAGAATACGATAATTGAGATTGTTTTATGAGAATTTTTGAAAATATTAGAAATTATTGAATGCATGAATGGAAAAATTGTGAACATCCTACTTGCATTTATTCACACATAGTTGTATATTAGCATATTGTTTATTTTGAGATTTCAAGAATGAACTGTTCCTTTTAGCTTAATGCAAAATCAATTCTGATATTTTTGGTTACATTATTAAGTGTGTGTGTTATTTTCATTTGAGAAAGAAATGAATTGCAATTATTGTACTATTGTTTCAAAGAAAAGTACGTGACAGACCTGACATGAAATCATAAAGCGATACTTAGAGTAGAAAATAGTTGACAAAAGGACTAAAACTCCATAAACAAACCAAAACTTTATTTTTCTCATCGTCTTTTTAGTCCATTAGCTTGTAATTCTATTATTTTTAAATTAAAAATGTTAAGGAAAGTTGGTTGAATAAAAAGAAAATATATTTTGAATTAGGCATGGCAGTTCTTTCAAATATTGCACCAATTTATTAAAATAAGTTTATCAAATAATTTACAGTGAATTAATATTACATTGTTGCAGAGAAACTTTCATTTTTCACGGGCTGTAGTAATGCATTTCTATTGTTTCAATGATAACATATGTTTATTTTTATGAAAGACGTACTATAGACTTGTGCTCTGCTTATTATGTACTATACAGTATTAAACTCAGGTTGTGTAGGAATGTGCATTGCATCATATTATTTATCCTTTAAACTGTTTACAAAGGTTTAGTGAATACATATATTGCCAAGAAGTAAAGAGAAGAAAAATCTACCAAAGAAATCAGTGTATTTGAGTGAAAGAAATCTACAAATTGGGTAGCCTTTCATTTGTAGAGGTTCAAAAGATAATTTTAAGAGACTCTCAATGAACGGTGAACTCATAATATTAATTTCTGGCTTAAGTTTTTAATTTATGATCTTTTAATTTAATTAATGATTGGATATTTAGCTTCAGAGATTTGAAGACAAATAAAATTATTGGGTTAATATTATAGAAATGTAATATCATTTCATATTTTAGTCCTGTAAAGCTTACTACTGTGTTGAGATGTGGATTTATCAAAAGATTCAACATCCTGAGGGTTTTCGTATCATTTTGACTATAATGTTGCAGCTTTCTTCTGGATAGAATAAATTTTTCATATATATTTATTACTAAGTTGATAGTTACTTATTTGCAAATTATTCTGTGAAGAACATAATCATTTTGTAGTTTTTTTACTGAACAAAAATTGCTGAAATTTAATAATTTATGATCGTGTACATACCAAAGATTATCGAGACGGTACATTTACTTATTTTATCTGATTCTTTAAGTATTTTAATGGATGTTTAAACTAATATAGTAGTAAATAAATTCTTATCTAAAGTGAAATAACACTGAAAACGTACATTTGCTCAATTGATGGTTATCAATTTTCATTTTAATTAGTAAGTGATATTCAAAATGAAAATATGTACATGAAATGCAAGTTAGTTGATACCTCTTTTATAAGAGTGAAAGGAAGTGTGAGAGAATTGAAAACAGAATGAGAGATGATGTGAGAATTTATTGGAAATATTGTCATTGAAGTTATTAGAGGAAAGCAAGGTAAAGATCTAATTTATATAAATGATTTGATAATCTGAGAGGGATACAAAATTTTGACAATCTTTATTTGAAAAATTGTTTTAATTTTGTTTTTGTAACATTTTTCACATCAATACTACATGTTCAGAAAATTAGTTTTGAATTTTATATTGCTCAAATCTTCCAGAAGAGTTTGTACCACTCTTAATCCTTACCATTGTAGAGTATGTTATGATGTCATGACATAATTGTAACTTATAATTATAATTACAACTTATATATTCTGTATGTTGATGTGAAAACTTCTTTACACACTTCTTTGACCCCAGTGAATAAGATGATAAATGAGATGATTAGATAAGTGATAGAAATGTGATATTAAATTACTTTTGTTACTATAGAACATTAGTAAAAACTATATTTGTGAAGGTTTCATCAGTTTAGGGATGGAGGGATGAAGCTCCGAGAGACCCCATTTGTGTGCACTGGATAAATACTACTGTATTCCCCAAATCAGCCACTTTATTTGTTACTGTTATAAGTTAAATTCCTTCTGGTTGCTGAGTACAGAAAGAGTAAATGTGAATTTTCTAACGTTATGTAAATTTATGAAATCGTGAAGCCAACTAGATAAGTAGAGTTGTCTGATTCTTCACTCTAGAACAATGACTGGATATCGAAGATTAACATCAAATGAGTTGTTTATTTATGCTATAAAATTATTTCAACAATAACTGGATTAGAAGATAAGCTGCTTTCCTCACAAAATTTAGTTTTCACGAGTTATCAGCTTATTCACCAGGATTGAAGATTTATTTTCTCGGTGTTAAATCATAGTCAAAATGTTAAGTTACATACCAACCTTGTTTTCATTTATGTAATTTGTTTATAGTTTTATATTTTTTTAGATGTATCAAATGCAATGGTTGTGTTACCTATGTTTAATATGTGTGCCTTTGCTGCTAAACACACGAATAATCATTTAAGTAATGAGAAGCACAAATGTGAATATGATTTTTGAAAAGTGTCATGTACCCAAGGCTCTATAGTTGTACAAAAATGATTTCCATCTGCAGTATTTTGTAAGTAAGAAATGGAGATGAAGTTTGTTTATTGAATTATACAAGCCTTACATTGTATTGTTGATCTTGTAATTGCCACCCCTTTTTTATATTATTTTATTAATGGTTAATAAAAATGTTTCATAGAATATAGAATTTATCAATCAACCTTTTTAATATCTATATTTTCACAAAAATGTAGACATATTTTCATGGTAATGAAGATTCATTCCCGATAAATTTGTAGAGTATATACACCACAATTCCCTCTCACCACAATTTTAAATTTGGGTAAGAAAAAAAAAGGAAATAAAGTTGCAAAATATAAAATTAAATAAAAAAATTATGGAAAAACTAAACAACAGATTCGCATTGATAGTCAATACACATGTACATACACACTTTAACTTTTATAGACTGATAATGTAGTTCGTGGTGTTAAAACTTGAAAACTTCTATTGGACTGTATAGAACTTGAAAATGTTAATTGGAAATATAAGTTATTGCTTCAGTAAAATTTTAGGAGTAATTATTATCAATTTAACGTGGATTTCTATTAAGTCATTCAAATAGATTTGTATATAATTTTAGGGCATATTTTTTACCTTTATATAAAATTACGTTATTTTAATCCTTTATTAACAGTAATACATTCTTGGAAAGGGAGGTTAACATTTGTTTTTCCCAACGTGCTGAAAAAGCTTAACTTGCTAACAGCCCACAGCTGGTTTTCCATATTAGACACTTCTTGGCAATTTTTTTTCTCTTTAAAGAAATGTTTAATATTCTTATATGAATTATTACAATCGCTGTGGATTAACAACAATTTTTTAAAGTTAATTCTCCCACTGAAAATAAAATTATCATTATCTCAATCCTCTCTGCCTCTGGAACTCACAGTTTAATTTTTTTTTTTTTAATTGAACTATTTTGCTTGATATTGATAAATTGTGTTTTATCACAATTTTCAAGTTTATTTATTGAAACAAAAAATATTAATATTATGCAAAGGACAAATAGATGGTTTTACTTGCATTAATATTAGGTTCTAATACTAAAACTTATATTAAAAATGAGATGAAATGATATCTGATGAATGAGGGAGAAGTATAATCTGTGCATATTTTCTTGAGCTCCAGAATTTCTTCCCCATCTCAGCTCGGTTGCTTAGCAGCACAGTTCCATACGTCTGTTAAAGTGGCAAAGTCATTTTCAAAAAACACATTTTCCCTACACCCAGAATTTGGGGTATTGCTTTCCCAATATCACAATTTATTTTTGTTGCTCGAATGCTTTTTCCAAAAATTGGTGGCTTAATGTTGTTAAGCTGGCCAAGCCAATTGACCTAAAAGTATTTTCTTTATAAACAAAATATTGCGATATATACTTGCCCTACAAATACATAAACATTAATTTTATTGCTCTTACTGTTTTTCGAATAAATAAAAAAAACAATAATGAATTCTCTAAATCTCAGACAGGCACAATAGCAACAAGTAAGATTACGACTCGTAGAAAAAAACAAACTCTTCAGCCAATCTACATTTTTTTGACACAGAAATTAGCACAAATAAATATGCTATACAATAATATTGTTTTGCATTTTCAACATTTAATATGTCCTCCAAATAATTATAATACATTACAATACTGTTAAAAAATAACACTTTTAGGTGGCACATAATTTCTTATAAAAACTAAACTAATCAACGGTATGACATTTACCAACAACCCAAACCGAAAATTATTCTAATAAATGACACCAATCATTATTTTGTTGCTCTTACCATTTTGTGGAAAACTGAACAAAACCACTTATGTGTGAACTGAAAAGACGCATCCCCGTCGAATAACAGAAACAAGCTTCAAAGCAAAACTATCCTTCAAAACTAAAATGTCTTTACAGAACATCAAACATAATACGTTACACAACTCAACAATATTGTTTTTAAATTTTTGAATTCCCATGCCACTAAACTACTCTACAATTCTTTGAGGCAAAATTAGCTTTCAAAACTATTCTTTTCTTTACATCAACTAAAATAGAAACTTAACACTGTTATATGGTCTTTGAATTTTGCACCTCATACACTTAGCATAAAAAAATACCTATTAATTACCGTGCGTAATGGAAACTCCTGGGTAGATATACATAGACACAATCTCAATGAGTTTTTCTGTCTTCTCAATCTGTTTTGTAGGTACTTGATACTGAAAAATCAAATGACGGCAAAACGTCTGCCTGTCAGTCTGTGAACAACGGCAGGAGTTAAACCGTTCAGCCAATTTTCTCCAAAATTGATATTTTCGATTAGATCTGGCTGATGTCGCGACTTCTTGAACATGAAAGTAATAGTTTCATTTTGGGGGATACTTTACTCGAAGACCCGGGTCATTTTCCGAATTAAAAAGAAAAAACTCCATTGTTTTTTATTACATATTGTTGTTGGATGGTGTGAAAGACATTTGAGAGAATGGTACACATCTCATTTTCGTTTAAAACCCTTATTTTTTGAAAATTGCGCAATTCAAACTTTTTAGGCGTTTTCCAAAAACGGGTTCTCATTTTTCCGTTGTTTATCCTCGTATGTAGCAAGAAACTGTTAATGTGATGTTAATGGCACTATTTTCGGCGCAGTATGAACTTTCGAAAATTGCAAACAAATTCGGAACTATGAATTTGAGTTTCGTGTGCTTCGTTTCAGTCGTTACCAGTTCGAAAATTAGCAACACAGATGTTTCAAAATTCTTCCAATTCATCCCATTATTGTCGGTCATGATAATTGTGTGATGTAGATAAGTTTTTTATGATAGGAAATCGCTTGAAGGAAGGTAATACATTTTAATTTAAATACTTCTATACTCTAAGAAGTTTTAATAACTGATTGTGATATTAAAAAATTGAAAGCTCACTTCAAATGTGCTTGTGCAAAAACGAGGCTTGTGTGACATGTTCTTGCTTTTCTGTATTATGTTCTGTAAATAATGTAACTTTTAAATTTATTAATGTTTGTTTCATTTCTAAATATAAGAAATGACTACTCTTCCTGACAATGGAAGTAAATGCCTTAACTATGCCCACGATTTCTCTCCAAACTGAATGAACCACTGTCGACCTGGCCTGAGTTGCAGCACTGTGATTTTGAAAAAAACTTCATTAATTTTCTGGGGTTCTTTATATAAAACCCTGGAACATTTTCAAATTCTTCTTAAAAATGGCTCCATTTTTTGAATTTAAATTTCTTGTAAGAATAAAGTAAAAAATAAAAGTGGCATATGCCCGATTTTCACTGTTAACTCTGGATTTTTGAAAATGTCAAAAGTTTGAATGTTTTTGGGCGTCTTCCTTCAACTACAAAATTGAAGATAGAGGTTTTTCTTTCAAATGAAATTTGTTGTCCTTACTGCGTTCTTGCAAGAAGCTCACGTAGACTTTTTGAAACTTTTAGTAGTTTTTGCACAATATTGAGTGCAGTATTATTATTATTATTATTATTATTATTATTATTATTATTATTATTATTATTATTATTAAATGTATAATATCCCTATCCAGGGGGAAAGACTCCCACTCTCTGTTGGGGTAGATCACAAAAGAACTTGCCAGGTGAGCTAAAACCTGATGAAGTTAAATTGTTTTTCTTTTTCATCAATTCTGTAATAAAGATACAGAGTTCTTAACAAATCCTATGAATTTTCTTGTAGCGCTATTTTCACTGTTAAACCGTACTTTGCTAGACACATTAACATGTTTCACATTCACTTATCTTAAATCGGATTATTTACATATATTTTCACATACACACACACTTATCTCTCTTCCCTTTCTCTCTCTCCGTCTGTCTGTCTCTCTCCTTTGGCGTCGTTCCGGCCACACCCAAAAACAAAGGACAAGGTAGGGAGATCGGAAGGTCTTCTCCCGCCCCACGGCGGCCGTTCCCTGGGTATGCCCCGTGGCGTTTGTGTAGGCAGCGTGGCGTGAGGGTGCCAGCGGTCCCCAGATGTGCGAATTTCAGTAAACAGCGCTCCGCATTGGGTTTCTCAAATCGGCGTGATACAAGGCTAGCGATATGCATGAGTCAATATCGCTCATTGCAATAAGAGAAAGAGAAAGAAATGGCACCGATATGTGTTGGTCCCGGGGGCGACCGCATATAAAATTTATTAGAATTGCCGCCCAAATCAGGGCGCGTTGGAAGCGTTAGTGTCGGCTGACCAGCGGGAGAGG